GTGAGCACAGTTTTAGCTGCAGTACAGCGATTTAACCACTGTGCCATGAGTTCAAAAGATGGGCAAAAGTAAGGACAGGAGGAAAAATCAAGGAATGAAACTTTTTACTTTAATGCTGGTAAGTCTTTTAAGTATAGTAATATAAGGTAACTTTAAGCATCAGTTTAAACACTGCCTTGTTGAAGTAAATGTAATTTAATTAGTGTTTTTTTTTTAAAGTTTGTTAATCATTAACTTAATGTGTGACGACTTTTCACTAGCTTTCTAATCTCTGAACTTTATTCTGCTCTCTGAAGGAGGGTACCATTGGTTCCTCTAGGTATGAGGTAGCAAAGCATTTTGAGTTAGCCCTGACCACTACATCATTCACAAAATATCTAGTCTCACTTTATAAATTTTGATGGATTACTGCAATGAAGCATCAGTTTCAACTTTTAGCTACCCACCAGATCTTCTTACAGCAAACAATTTCTGGCTTTCTCAAGCACTTACCAGTAATTGTATAGTATGAAGCATATTGCACTAAAAATGTAATGGTTAGTTATATGTGTTTCTCCTACGGGAAACCTTCCCCTGATACTGAATAGTACTAAGGGCAAATTGACTACTGTGTTCAAAGCAGCACATGTTAATATAAACCATAATGTTATTGCTCTGCAAAGGTCAACATTAACCAGTAAATGTGCAACATGAACCACTCAACTGTCTTTATGCAGGCTTATGGAATGTAACTGTGGACGAAAGGAAGTAAATTAACGTTTAAACATAATCAAATGCACCTTAACCTAACTAATGGAGTTATACTTAAAACCTCAGAAGGAAGGTACACATTTGGTTTCTGTAAATATAGCTGACTCCAAACAGGAACACCAGTAAAAGAGATTAAAATGGAGTAAGGAAATCTATAATCATCTCCCTATTTAAAAGCTATCTGTTTATTTTAACACTTTAATTCTGTGCAATGAAGACAGTTAAGATACAGAATGCCTGTTTGTTGGGATGTGAGCTGTGATTTACAAAACTCCTAAGGCAAACATTTCTTGACTTTGCTTTTTTAAAAACCCTTTAGAAATGCATGTAGCTTAAATTCTCCACACTAGGTCATTCAGGCCAGACGCAACCAGAAAAATGAAGTTGCTGTTTCAGAGATGGCAGACAACCAAGAGTTCAGACAGTTGCTACGAAGGATTAGTTGTGGGTTTTCTCACTGCCCTGCTACAGGCTTCATCACAGCTCTATGTTCAAACATGATTAAAAGAGAATGTTTTCTCTGGCACCATCTACTTCTCCTTACAGTTTATGCACTGAGTTATTTTAAAAAGTAGGTCTACTTTACAGTGTACAGCAGAACTTAAAACACATTTCCATAATAGCTGGCAGTCTGCATTGGACTTGGTTGTTGCTATGCTACAAGGTTGAGCAAATACCGTTTTCCAGATGTATTTGAGCTACAACTCCTACCAACTACGGTAGGTGAGGAATTGTAGGAATAGCAGTCCATGGCTTGCTTGCTTGATTTACAGTGGTGCCTCGCATTACGACGTTAATTCGTTTTACAGCATCTTAAAAAGCAGAGACATCACCTTGCCAACAAAAGTCCACATAGTCAGAGCTATGGTTTTTCCTGTAGTGACATATGGAAAGCGATGACAAACCTATTATGACTTGTCAGAAAGTTAAGTAAAGCAAATTAAATGTGAGCTTTCACTAGAAGCTAAAATAACCAAACAAATACAGTGGCATCATAAGAAGACAAGCTCACTGGAAAAGGCAGCAATGCAGGAAAAAGTGCAATGCAGTAGGAAAAAAGGAAGACTGCACATGAGATGGATTGACTCAATAAAGAAACCTACAGTCTTTTGTTTGGTGCTGCAGTCAAAGTAGGACCAGGAGCAGAAAGATTGGGATTCAGATTTTGGGAATAAACTATGATAGTGTATTCGCGAAGGCTTTCCTGGCCGGGATCTAATGGTTGTTGGCCTCTGAAGATGCCGGCCACAGAGACTGGCGGAGCATTAGGAAGAACAACCTTCAGAACACGGCCAAAGAGCCTGAAAAACTCACAACAACAAACTATGATAGTCTTGTCTGCTTTGGGGATGAGAAACAGAGAAATATGATTGCTACACACTTCAGACTTCTGCTGTTCTCAGCAGAAACTGCAGAGCTAAATGCAGTGGATATAAAATTTTAGAAGGTTCATTTTTTCATGGTTTTATGAAAGAGTCAAGTCTCTGTCTCTCTCACACACATACACACACATACAAACCCTCCCTCCCTCAATTTTCAACAATTAGCTGTTCAGTTCAGTATGTCCATTTCCTCTCATTACAGTTAAACAAGCTTGATGAAGCCACCCTTTCCTCCCTTAATTCAAGCCTTCCGTCCTTCTTGCCTGTTCCTTTTTTCAGTTTTGAGTCGGTTTCTCTCATACACACACATCTACCCACCGTCACTCATTCAATTTTCTACATACATTTAAACAAGCTGATGAAGCCACCCATCGCTCTCTCACACCTTCCTTGCCTCCTTAACTGGAGCTTTCCCTCCTCCTGCTTGCAGTTACCTCCGGCAGAAGTAGTCATTCACAAGCAGGATTGACTGCCTGGGGCTGTTCTACAGCTGTAACCAATCAAGCAGCCTTACCTCCGATCTCTAAAAGAATGGAGGATTTACAAGTGCCGCAACCAAGGAAGGAGGGAGAGGTGGCTTCCAGTTTGAGGTTCGACTGTAGGGGGTGGGAGTGGGGGGGTAGTGCTCTGCTCATTACCCCCAGGATTTTCATTTTTACCTCATTTTGGGTAATTTACCTGTTCCCTGACCACTGATCTACACCCTCCCTCTTGAACTGCAGTAACTTATCATTCATAAACTATTTTGAGAATGATTACAACTTCCTAATATAAAAGTACATACATAATTTATATATCAAGATTCTTGTATTTAAGAAAAATGACTGCTGAACAATTTTAAAGGCACTTTATTGTTTCAGGTATGTCATGTAGATTTATCAGCCACAAAAATATAGCACCAATCTGTCAATGAACAGTGACAAAAATAAAGCACCACTCCCACTTCAAGGCTCTTTCAAATGTAACAAAATTCCTCCCCTTCTCCTGATTTGTTGTGAAGAACAGACTTCATCAGTGTTTCCTTTAATAAGCTACTTCTTTAAAAACTATTTCTCTTTGGCAAATTTTAGAAATCCACTCTTCCACTCAAGGTTCTCTTCTGTAGTTTTTGCCTGCCTGTATGCTAACTGAACCCTAATTGAAAGTTTCCATTGGGAGGCCTTGACTGTGGACATGAACTTTAGTGGAAAAACTTCATAGAACTAAATGCCACCCCCAGAACAAGATCAGACCAGAAAATAAGTATGCTGAAAGGGAGGATGAAAAAGTCATAGGAATTCAAGAAAAAGTAAATCTTTAGGAATCTCAATAGCTTTTCTTATAAAAAAACAAGGGGCATCAAAACCCTGAAGTTAATTTAAGATCTTACTGAATTATCTGTTTTTATTAAGTATACGAATATTTGCCACCTAAAAGAGTTCTAGGCAACATTTCTTTTCCCTTTTCTCTAATTACAAGATTTGGTCCAAACTGTTTGTTGAACTAATATGATTGGTACGGATCTGCCATCCCATCCAATAGGACTACTGCACTATTAAGTGTTCCATGATGGGTATTCAACAGGTAAAGAAAGGTACATTTGATAATTCTGTACCGTCTGACAGACCCTAGCAGGAGCTACTAAAACACATAAAGCAAATTTACTATCTAATGCCGTAAGTCTTAGAATCATGACTAGTGACAGAATTTTACCAGGGAAAGGGGCTGTTAAGCCTTTAATGCTTCAAATTCAGACACACAGATGTGTAGATCTTTTCTGTCTAGCAAGTTAGGCAGCCTGAATTCCAGCTGAAGAAAGAGTCTTTCAAAGCCACAATCAGTGTTCTTTTGACCCACAGGTTGGTGGGGCCCTGTGTTCTCAAATTCTGACCAACTACTATTCCCAACATCTCCCACCTATGGCCAGACTAGCAGGATAGGAACCATCAACGTCTGGATCACTGCAGGTTCCTTATTCCTGCCTTATCCAGAACATTCTGAAAAACACAATTAAGTGAAGATATAATCCCATCAGTTAAAAATACAGTAAAGTAATAAATTCTGATACACCTTGAATGCAGCTATGGCTTGTTGGCATAGTTTTTCATTTCTTCTCTGGCACATTCATTTCAAATATCAAAGCATAAGAAATCACTACTGAGGCATTAACAGCACTGACTGAAGTTCAAATAGCTGACAGTGGTTGTTGAACTGAAACACTGAAGGGGAAACAGGAATCAGCAAACATGAAAATTAAAAAGGTTTTCAACAACCGCTAGCACTCTTTGTATTTAGTAGGCTTAATGAGCAATGCAGACCCAAACATTTGCAGAAACATACTCTCCTCACCTATCTTCCACCTATGGTCTGGCTCTCTATTAGGAAGGGATGCTAGGATTACCAACAACCAAAAAAAGAAATAGAACAACCGCACATAGATTTACAATAAATAAATGTTTGCCTTCTAACAATTATATGTACGAGTCTACAACATATATATATTCCAACATCAAGGCAGAAGAAAGTTAGGCAAAAGCTTCTCTGGTGTACCTGATAATCTAGTGTTCCAGATAATTTCTATTATTTATTCAGTAAGAATTAACATTCATATACAGTGGTGCCTCGAATAGCGAGGTTAATCCATTCCGCAAAAAACCTCGCTATTCAAATTCATCGCTATTCAAAACGCGGTTTCCCACTGAAATGCATTGAAAGCCGGCTAATCCGTTCCAATTGGAACGAATTGCCGTCGCTAATGGAAAATCTCCATAGGAAACCTCGCTATTCAAAACGTGGTTCCCCCATTGAAATGCATTGAAACCTATTCAATGCATCTCAATCGGGGGAAAAATCCACAACAAATTAAAAAAGAGTCAGAACAAGGTCAAATTGGGTTATCAAAGGGTTTATTCAGTGCACTTTACGATTTCAAACATTTCAAACCCTAAACCTTAACTTTAAACCCTTTTAAAAATAGCGATCACGCAGCTGTTTAAAAACTCGCTAATCGAAAACAGGGGACCTAAAATGGACTCGCTATTCGAAGCACGGTCCTGAAGATCGCTATTCAAAAATCGCCCATAGGAAAAATCGCTAATCAAGGCGAAAAAATGCCCCCAAAACCACATCGCTATTCGGTTTCTTCGTTAATAGAGGCGCTCGCTATTCGAGGCACCACTGTATTTGGAATGTTAAAATTAGATGAATTAGCCATATGAGTGAGGAATTCTTTACAGGACTGATATTGCATCCTGTACTTGAAAGTAAATGTCACTGATGTCAGTGATGCTTATGTTTGAGTGAACATATAAAGGATGGTACTATACAATGGTGTTTTTAGAGCAAGACTTCGGGGAAGATATTCATGGTCCCAATCAGCAGATGAGGTGATCAAGAAGAATGTTGATGTAAGTGAAGTAATAGATATTGGCCAAAATGCTTTCACATAGTTACACTGGCAAAAGGTAAATGTTGTAACAAACTGCTACTGATCAAGAAGTCCTGATTGTATTCCTCACTACACACCAGCCAGGGGGCTTGGGACTTGACCCATAAATAAAGCAGGTATTCATTAATTAGCAGCAATTTGACACCAGAAGGCACATCATTTCCCTTCTGCCAACACAACTACACAGGAAGACCTTCACCACTGTCATGTAAAAAGGCACACGTCTTAGAGGAGAGCTCTAAATAAAATTAAATAACTGCATTACTGATACTGTTAATATCACAATTTGAGACACATCTGAAGTAAGCTTCAATGAACTGAATGTGACTTCTCTCTCTGCGTGGGATTACATTTTAAATCCTAAATGAAGTTGCTTCAGGCAAATCTATATACAGTAGTACCTAGCCTTATGAATTTAATGGGATCTACTTTCACTAGTAGATACTGAAAACAAAGTATAAACAATTTTCCCTCAAAATAACACCCCCTATCCTTCTGTCTTATCTTGAGCATGCAATCAATGCATTGGCCAAATGTACTTAAGGCACAGAGAAAATGCCTGAAAAATGCTTGTTTAGATAAATTAAGGTCACAGATTTTTTTCCAGCCAGTTTACAGTACAGTACTGGCCATGTATACTCTGAAATCCCACCAAATTCAGTAGGCCTTACACCCAGATAGAGAAGCATAAAACTTCAGGCTCAGTAATGTGATTGCAGAGAAAAAAAAATGCATAAACAATATAGCTTTCCAAAACCTGAGAAATATTTCTTTCCTTTTACTTTTGTTATTATTTATTAAGGGGAAAGATTTTATTCTGTTCAACAAAAATGTCCCCAGAGCATCTTGCAAATATATGTATAGCCTACTCTTATTAAAATCATCTTTATGCTTCAACCAGGCTGTGGTGCCTATGCATTGCATTGTACAATATATAGAAGGAAGGGTGTGAATTGTTCAAAATAGTAATGGTTAGGATATCTGCAAAAACTTCAAACAAAAACGAAAACTTAAGTGTGTGGCATGTGGAGAACTCACAGGAAGATTCAATTATCAGCTGAGCAGACTTAGTAAAGATCTGAGGTATACCTAACACCTGAGCTAAAGGTGATACATAGAGACGTAAAGGAAAAGTGCTGGGTATTTGCTTCTTAAGAGTCATATTTGTCCTTTGTTCACAGTCACTGTGTTCCACCATCCAATGTTAGGAGTTCATCGAGATATTCTAGTACTTCACCCTAAAACAGATCAAAAGGAACATTGGTTAATTCTGCACAGTGACCTCTTAGGGTCAAAACATTTAACTTTTTAAAGAAGGTAAATTAGAAATATCTGGGAGTTTTAAGTACAGGTATTAAGCTGAGTTCACATAAGATGACAGTGTGAGAGAGAGTGTGTGTTAGTGAGCCGTCCCATCCACAAACTGTGCAGGAGGAAGTTTGTGAGTGCATAGAAGGGATACTTACAAATATAGAAGGGATGACAGAAAGGAGGAATATAGAGGTGTGTTTATCAAACGATCAAGGGGAGGAGAAAGGGGGGGAGCAAGATTTGATAATATGGGAGGAGGTAATAAAAGAAAGAGGTGACGCGCGAGAATTCAGAATTAAAACGGAACCAAGAGAAAGAGAGACAAGGGATTGCGCGGTATAGACCGAGAGAGAAGAAACTGCAGATAAGGTCTGAAACTGCTAAAAGACTTTCCTAATTTGAAGACTGGCGGAGGATTGCTGCCAGATCCAGAGTTACCAAAGGTGGAGAAGAAAAGACCAGCTGTTTTAGAATGGACTGTGGTAGTATACCCTTGCAACCAAGGTGGGGGGGAGGAGAGTGATTCGTCCCAGTCCCTCCTACAATGCTCCACCTCTAGAAGGGGACTGGACGAGACACCAAAGCGTTTGTGATCCATCATTCTTTTCAATGGGGTTCTCTTGACCGTGCATACCGTGTTGTGGGACAGTATGTGCAGTCAAGAGTACCCCATTGAAAAGAATGACAGATCACGAACGCTTTGGTCCAGCCTCAATGTGAGATATTAACTCCTGGGACAAAGGTTTTGAGTTATAAGACGTTGCCAGAATTAAGTTGTTTAGATCCTTTCAATTTAGTTACTCTGGATGCTGAAGTTAATAAAGTTTAATCAGTTGAATTTTTGAAATCGTCTCCGGCTCTTATTTCTGCCAAAAGGAGGGAACCGTCACCAAAACATGAAGAACCTAATCACAGACAGTTTCTCCTGACAGACATACAGAACAAATAAAACTACCTTAGATTGAGCCAGACCTTTGTTCTGTTTTGCCCAATATTTGGTAGCCTTGACTGGCAACAGCTCTCCAGGGTTTCAAATAAGAGTCCGTTTTAGCCCTACTGGATGTTCCCTGCTCTGGGTAATTATGATTCTGACTCTAAAATCAGATGCTACCAGGTATGCTCAAGATGATGAATACCTAATCCCTGTTTAATAATTGGCCTGTACAGATGAGGTTTTTTTCCTACTCATCTCTGAATATATGAGCTCTGGAGTGGTTCTTGTAATCATGCAATTCCTCCTAGTATCAGCTAATTTTTGCCCATCTTTACTGCTGAACTGCTAGCTTCTGTAAATCAAGCTGCTGTTTAGGATATAAAAGGCAGCCTGTCTGCCTCCCTCCCTCTCCAAATTGCTAGTGAATCTATTCCTTCCCCAACTAAGGAAGATCACTCCCAACCCGTGTAATTTTGGGGGGTCTCTCTTAACATGCAGGATGGGACCCAAGAACACTACATGCTTCTGAAAAGATCACCAAAGTATTGGGAAGGAGCAGACCTAAGTAAGAGGGATGGTCAAGACATTTGTTGTTTGCAGAAAAGGATAAGATGGCACTCTGTCACACCCTACATACTTGAAACTTAGGGCCTAATCACACGGACCATTTGAATTGTTTATTTTTCCTCCTTTAAAAAAACTGATACATTTGTGTGTATAGTTACATGGTGTATATATACTGCTGGGCCCTTTCACAGGGATGTCAGTTCAATTGGTACATTCCTTGCTATTCGTACCAGTTCTGCAGGCTACATGTGCCATCTCATATAAATAACTTCATTTTCCATCCTGTTTCTGGGTTCCCACTGCCCTAAAAAGTTTTTTTAAATGTAAGTGATATACTGTTATTTTTCTGTCACTTCCAACTGTTAGTCAGTGCACCACCAGGTGGGATATATCACTAGATAAAAGTAGGGCAGCATTAAAAAGGACATGAATTGTTGAAAAGCTAGAAGAAAAAATAACTGTAAGCTACATAAAAGCAGGGGCAATGGTTACGATAGGGAAGACGCTGGCTAAGTGATACACTGGCAAACTGTTGTGGGTGGAAATATGAAAGAAAAAGTAAGCAATGTATTACTAAGCATTACAAAAATTAAAGGGCACATGTGCGGTGGCCATGGCACCCCAAAACCTGACCAGTTAGCAAAGTAAATAAATTAACAGCAACATTCACACCTGTCGAAATGATAAGGACTGAAGTGATACAGGGGTCAGGTCATTTTTAAAAGGCCATGCCAACAAGGTAGAAAAAAAAAAACAGATTGGCTGGCCAAATGAATTGACGTTACCCATGTGTTGTGTTATTATAGAACAGTTAATGGCAGAATCAATATAACAGGGGTTCTTTTGGCATGTATAACTACACCTTTACTTCAGTGTTTGCACTGGGAAAGGGGCCTCCATCACAGTTGATACAGGCTACTTTAGGAGGCTGAGGAAAGATTGTGGGGGAATACACAGCTCTGTCCTTCAACAGAAGCCAATAACCAGGGAGTTCAAATGGAACAGCTGCAAGCCTGCTACTGCTGCTTGAAGTGACAGCTTCCCTCTGCCTAACAGTGGGCTTGTCCCTGACAAACAGTTCTGCTTTATTTGCCAGGCATCTCCTCTTTTTTGCATCTACTATTTGTGGAACATCGGCATGGAAGATTATGCTGGCCACTCTTTCAAATTGTAGATAATAGTTTCTCAGTAACCTGTTCAGTCTCACGATGGCTCTTGTGATCTTGGCCCCCAATGGAGGGGACAATATAGTGGTAAAAATTCTTGACAACAAATCATTTTTGGCAGCTAAAATTCTTGAGAACTAAATGACTATCAGTTAGAGAAGACTAATGTAAACACATGTGATTGGACAGCTACTCCTCTTCTTTTTCCTCCACAGGCTTGTTGGTGCTTCTGCAAAGTGGCTTCAAAAACTTCTAAAACCCAAGTGTTTGCTTTCCTTTTAACTTACTTGAAATCTTTAAGCTTGTCAGGTCAACAAATGGACTCATTACCAAACATTATTTATTTTCCTGCTAAGTAAGCAGTTTACTATAAAAGAAATTACCTCTAAAACACCTTGGACTTTAGCAGATGTAAATATTTGCAGAATGTATGATTACTTTGAAAATAACGAAACTATTTCGAACTACTGAGATTGGCAGCCTGGATTTATTCCCTCTCACAAAAGCAAATGCAAAAGGAAATTCACTTATCTTCCTGCATGCCTCCATGAATTTGACTGAAATGGATATCACTACTGCATGAGTCTACACCTCATGAGATCCCTTTGCTCTTCTGTATCAATTGTACTTTTTTCCTGTGTGATTTACTAGGAGTATGGTTGCTCTGACTGACAATGAAATTGCTAATGGAAATATTTTTAGGATTTACCACTACCCTACCCATCACTTTGACACTCGGCTGCTGCAGAAAATGGAAGTCCTGTATCAAATAAATTTTATTTTATTGCGGTCACCATAATTACCAGCACCAAACAAATACTATAGTACAAAACAGAACAGAATGTGTAACACACACTATGCCAAACACTATATCCACGTATAAAATTTATATCATAAATAACCAACGCAGAAAGGGAAAAAAATGACTGTTACCAGAGAACTCTGGCAAGCTATGGCAGCTGCATAGAATTGATCAGAAAGACACAATGAAATATAAAATTTTTCTGATCTACCTTGGAATTTTTTGAAGAATAGATAAAAGAAATTCTTTATGAAGATCCCAGTAGAAGGAGCCATGTAAAAGAACATGCTCCACAGTTTCCACTTCCCCGCTATCACAGGGACATAAATGATCCCGATAAGGTACTCCAAACCTCCCCTCCAGGAACACAGAAGGCATAATATTAAATCAGACTAGCATAAAGGCTTTCCTGAATGTGCACAAATTTAAATTAGCCAAATAGAGAGCACAAAGAACTTATTGCCTTAGGCACTATATTTAGTCAGCAAACTTAAATGCTCTTGTAATGCTATGTCCTAAATTCTTTGCTTAACAACTGATTTGGTTTTATAGTTAGGTAAAGGTTCCCCTTGACAAATTGTCCAGTCATGTCTGCCTCTAGGGGGTGGTGCTCATCCCTGTTTCCAAGCCGTAGAGCCAGCGTTTTGTCCGTATACAGTTTCCGTGGTCACGTGGCCAGCACGACTAGACAAGGAACGCTGTTACCTTCCCACCGTGGTGGTATTTATCTACTCACATTTTTACATGTTTTCAAACTGCTAGGTTGGAGGAGCTGGGACAAGCGACGGGAGCTCACTCCATTATGTAGGTTCGAACTACTGGTCTTTTGACCTTGCAGCCCAAAGCGCCACCACATCCCTAAGCTTTATAGTAGCCAAGCGCTATTAAGATGCTGGGAGAAAAGTCTAGAGACAATAATTCCTTAGATAGGTGTCTTTTTCAGCCAAAATATTAACTTAAAGTCATGGTCATAAATATGGAAAGACAATATTAAGTTAACAAAAGCAATTGATTATAAAGAAAATATGTATAAGGTGTTCTATAGATGGTATATGACACCTGAAAAATTATTGAAAATATATTGAAGTACCTCTAACAAATACTGGAAATGCAAATTAAAAGAAGGTATTTTTTATCATATGTGGTGGACCTGTAGGGGAGTTAAGAGCTTTTGGAAACTAGTCCATGAGTTTTTACAAGAAATATTATCCTCTATAATTCCATATGAACCTGAATTGTTTTTGTTGAATACCAGACTTGACAGAAAATGAAAAAAGATATTTGATCATACATGTAACTACAATAGGAATTAGACCTGCGTCTAGGCCCAAAGCCACATTACAGAGACAGTGTGGAAATGGAAATATGGCTCTCAAAAATTTAGTCAAATGGCTTATAAAGGTTTAAAGGTATAAGAACACGACTGAGATCCATACATCATTTTCACAAAGACCTTCA